ATATGGCCTCTTTCCATAAGGGTAATGATTTGTAAAACTTTGGCATATTTAGAAACAACTGCTTCAGATGATTGTTAGATTGTCCGCTCGTTGGATCTTAAAATGCGTAGTCTGCCAAATGTGAAGTACAATTTACCTATATTAGATTCCTCGAGAAAGACAAACGCTAGTTAGAGCCAATCTAAGACTATTCTATGAAGAACTTCTGCTTTCAACATTTTACCAATTGAAGCTGTCTGTGCTAACTATTTCCATCAATTTATGTTTTGTAGAACAAAAATAGAGAAAGTAAAAAGGTCATCAGTACTTTGTTAAAAAAGGAAAAACAGAAATAATTTTAAATAGTTGACAAGAAAATGGATGTATATTGTTTATGTATATTGCCACTGATCGGCAAATTAAAATTATATCCGCGGGCTGGATAAAACCTTCCGGCGGGCCACAGTTGGCCCGCGGGCCGTAGTTTGCCCATCCCTGGTCTAGGAGAAATTTGGGTCCGTTAACGGACCCTGCACAAAATTATTTTTCTTTTAATCGGACTCTTCACAAATTTGTTTATCTTCATTATTGCTTTGTTAATTGAATAAACCCTTCCCAGGGCAGAAAACAAGAAAGATGGATGTAGACGATTCTTCCATTGTTCGTCCGAAATGAATATTCTGCTTTCAGCAGTATAGGCTAAATACCAAATACTATTTGTATGTTGCATCTCTAGTAGCAGCAATTGCTGTTTATTTTTTAAAATTTGATTTTTTTAAATTATAACCCTAGTGTTGAGCATATAATCTTGTATGTCTTTACAATTTAAAACCTCCCTGAAATTTTTTTTTGCAATAACAGGACCCTATTTGCACAAATTCGCACAAGCAGGACCCTGGTCGAAAGAATGTGAATTAACGATTATTTTATATTCGCAAATTACCTCTGAAATCCAGCCGAATAATTTCTTAATCATTTTATGGTGGCTAATATAATCGAGAGAAAAAAATCTTAGTCAGAAACTTATTTTGTCATAATCATGTAAAGTCTTAAAACGTTATTTTGCATTTTGTTAATGTATATAGTGCTTAAAAATATTTTTTGAGTGCTTAGAAAGTCCTTGAAAAGGTACTTATTTTTTGTTGAAAGATTTGGCTACGCATCGTACTTAAAATTTTATTTTTGCAATAAAAAAAAACATTTTCTAACTTATATAGTACTATAAAGAACAAAATTAAATAATCAAAAATTTTTTTCATTTTTCTGAATTGTATGTCATTCTTTCATTTCTCTAAAAAGTGTGCCTTTATTTACTTTTTTTTTTATACTTTCAGGTGGCCGAGAGTTCAGCTGGCCCAAGCCCTAAGTAAGTAAAATTTTGTATGTTGTATTTTATAAACAACGCACAACGATAATAGAAAAATAATCGCATATAAAAAATTAATTCTTATTTCGTATCATTTTAAACTGTGTAATTTTTAACGATAAAAACATATTTGAAGCTAAATTATGAACTAGTTTGGAGAAGGAAAATTTAAAAACATTCTTTTTCGAAATTTCCTATGTGAGAAACTATTTGATCTATTGTGTTTAAATTTTGTTCTTTCACATTTAAAATCAGAGAGAGTAAAATTATTTTTTAAAAAAAATTTTTTTTTCCTAAACACTCAAATTTTTTCGACAATAAAACAATAATAACTAAATAAAACAACAAAAAGAACATTATTAAAATGTTTTATTTCCGAGGGATTAGATTATCTTAGGATAATCCGGAATTTTTATACCAAATTTGTTCTGGATGCTATTTTGGGTCCCTTTTTTTAAAAAGGAATATTTTTGGTGGAAAAAAAAAACTTTCTGAAGAATGAGAAAACTATTTTTGAGCGAATTTCTTAACGAATGCAAAAAATTTAGTTACTATGTTTAATATTAAAAGTATTTCAAAATAAGTTCAAACAGTGGCATAAAAACAATAAAGCTCTAAAAACAATAAAGCTGCCAATCAGGAGTTTACATAAAATCTTATAGTGAATCTAGTAATTTGGGCAGGGACTGTACTTCAGTGAGCTGCAGATCGGCACACACGGTATTTTTTTGCTACAAGTGACACAGTTCCCGAACTAATTACCAAATGATAGTTTGTTTCTTTTTCCGTCTGCCTTGTACACTTTCCTATATTTCAACTGATCTTAAGTTAAGTCTTGTCATTTCAAAAGAAAAAAATTCCCAGTGACATTTTTTTTCTTCATATATCCGTAGTCGACAGCCGACCTAATTTTGGGTTTACGACTAAATGTTCAGGTATGAATTGTTATGGGAACATGGAGGTCTTAGTGACTCGACGGATTTAACGTGCATCAGTCGGGAAGTCTGATCGGAGGGTTTCGAACCCACGACCTCATGGACATGGACCCAGTGCCCTACCAATCTGGCTATGCATCCCCGCCCTCCCAATGATTTTGAAAAAAAGTTTGCCTGATATTCCTGAATTCCTTAAAATGCCACTGAAGTACCTTCTCTCATGTAGCTTTTAAATTAATCATCACACTATAAAATCAGGGTGCGTAACCTTTTTTAAAAAGTGTAATAACCTTTTCATATTTTATTTTATAAAATGACCTTTTCTTATTTGGGGTTTGTAAAAAGTGCTTAGTTTTCTATCTTTTAAAAAGTGTTTTTTTTTTTCTTTGCGGCGTCGATTTTCGTTCTAAATTACAAAAAAAATGCTTGATTTCCACAATTTTCTCTAATAATTATCACTAACTAGTTTTTTATCATGATTTTGCAAAGTTTTTGAATTTCATTGATTTTATGTTGATAAATTAACAACTTTAAACGATAGAAAGAAAAAAAATTGTTACTGCACAGATCCTAATAATTTATTTATTTTTATTTATTTTTTTTTATTTTTTTGGAAAGTGATTAAAAATATTTTTTGGGGGCTTAAAAAGGTGCTTATTTTTTGTTGAAAAATCTGGCTCCGCACCCTGATTAAAAATTTGACAGTCGCTTTCTTACTTCATGGGTATTGTCACCCTTTAAACTACGCCCTGATTTCCAAGCACAATTTTTACACCAATATTTTTTGTCTTTTCAGATATTTGGCAGCTGGACCCTCGAGGATGAGGCAACCATCCTCATCTAATGAGGAATCCGAAGAGGTGAGTTTATTTTTCTGAGTTTTTCTGTCACTTTTAATATTTTCTGTTTTTTGTAGATTTAGCTTAAAATCCTGTGGCAGAAACTTTAAAAGATAGTATCTGCAACTAAACTCTCTAGCGTTAATACCTTTCTGTAAGGTACTTTTAATAATAACAAACATATATGCATTGTATCCGCGCATCTGGAAAGTCATGGATTGAACAAAATTCGTCATGATTTTAACTATTTTTTAAAAATAAAATCATGGAAAGTAATGGATTTAGGTTGCCCAAAAATCTAATTTTTAAAATGGAATTTACCCTCTATTTCAAAGTGTTCCGATGTTCTGAATATATGAATTTGTAACAAAATCCTCACTCATATAGTCATATTTTATTAAAATATAAAATGTTTTAATCCTGTTCTTTAAAAATTGTCGTGTTCTTTCAAACAATGAATGAAAGAATTTCATTTCTAGAGCTAATAATCTTTTAAACTTCCCTGATTTCAGAATTTTTTCCTCTGTTTATTATTTTTTATTTTATCAATTTAAAATTCTAGTTTATATTACACTTACTTTAACGAAGAAACAAAAGCAGGTGTAAATAACTGATCATATTTAGTTATTTGCTTTTGTATTTTTTTTTTACCTATTTTATTGCTTCAACTCTTTCTTTTTTCTCTTTCTTTACTTTGTTTTTAAGTTTAAAGTCAATAAATTTGAAGATGCAGAGTATTACAGTTTTGGTTATCAGGGGTCTGTTTAGAAGAAATTTGGGTCCGTTAACGGACCTTTCACAAAATATCTTTTCATAAAAACGGACCCTTCACAAAATATTTTAACTTAAAAACGGACCCTTCACAAAAT